CCCCAAAACCCCAAAACCCCAAAACCCCTTTAGATACGAATTTAAATTTAAAAGTAAATATATAAATATAAGTTAGAATTAATTCTTTAGATCATTAATTTAGATTAAGTATTTTGAAAGTTAAAGTAAATAAAATCATGAATGTAATAGTCTTGATTATGATTTATTAGCTATCTTATATGATTCTGATTCATGAGTAATCTGAGTAGTTAAAACTATGTGACATATTATCCTAACCATGAAGTCCACCTTTACCTTCGGGTAGCACATTTTATTGATAATTAAAGATATTTTTGCCAGAAAATTACTCATCATTCATAGTCATTTGTTAGTCTTATCTATGTCTAATACCTCCTCCATATTTGCCAGATGAAATTTCGTCAGAGTTACTTAAAGCTCCCATCATTTCAACAGCCTTTGCGTTTAATCTTTGCTTTTCAAGTTGAGTGATTCTGTTTTTAAGTTGCTGATTGTTATTGTCATTTTTTTAATGCTACTGTTTCATATTAGCAAGAGGATTTGCACTTGACTCTCTTTGGTCATTTTCCTTATATGTTGTGTGACTTGAAGCAGCACTACCATTATACTTATTCTTGCTTTTACTTTATTTCTGAGCAAATTAAAGCTCTTTCTTAAGTCTTGAAATTTCTTTGTGTGCTTCTTCTTCGTCAAAAGCCCTCTTAGTTATAAGTTATCTTCTTAAATCTTAGATCTGATCAGTCAGTTTTTTCTTAATAGCTTCATTTTCCTTTCTCATTATCGCTCTCCAAATACCATTAAGCTCATAAAGAATTTAAGAGACGCAGGTTTCAGTCATTTAACCATTGAAAATCTCTTTTATTTTCTGAATAGCTCTGACTGCTTCAGTTGGTATCCATTCATTGCTAAGATTTTGATTCCCAGAAGCATTTGATGCCCCAGTTTGATAAGCACCTGCTGATTTACCTCTTGATCTATTCTTTTTATAATAGGAATATTATTTACCTTTCATTTGAAGCACCTCTTCCTTTTTACTTTGAGGAGCCAGTATTGAAGCTTGAATTCATATTAGATTTATTAAGTGACTTTGCTTCTCTCAAAACCTCTGACTAAGGCATATTTTAATACTAAAATGGCATTATTATCAAGTTGAAACTTACTTCACAAGTATTTTGTAACAGTAAAATGAGTCTTTCATTATCAGCCTTAAGTTTGTCTAGCTCAACTTAGAATGAGCCGTCACCTTTCCTGCTTACATATAAATCTTGCACAGTTTTCTCGAGATCAGCAACTTAGTTTCTAAGTCTGTTATTCTCTCCACTCTTTAACTCTAGTTCTTCTTCAATATCACGCATTCTATCGCTTATAGTCCCTACTCTCATATTTAGATTACTAATGTCCTCGTCTCTTTAGCCGATTTATCTCTTCAGCCTATTAATTTCTTCCTCTCTAATATCGATTTCATTTTGATAGCTTGATACTTTGAACTTTGATTTCTCATACATCTCCTTTTAGCTAGCTACAAATTCATCCATCTTCTTTCCCATTTCTTCAATTTATTGTGCTTATGCATGATTTATATTAGTTTGTCTATTTATTTGTTCATGGCATTTTTAAATCTCTTCTTATGCCTCTTCATATTTCTTGCAAACATTTGTATAGTTTTCTCTTGTCTTAGCAAGTTGAATTTCTACATACCTCAACGAATCTTTCAGCTCTTTGTTTTCAACTTCAGCTAATCTCAGCATCTATCTTAACTCCTCTTCAGTTCTTTTATTTCCATCTACTCTTAATCTTCTCCCAGCTGTTTTTTAGTCAACGTACTAATAATATTTATTATTGAATGTTATTAATAAGCAAAAAGTAAAAATATCTAAGATATCTTGAAAATTCTTACCCTTGAAGATTCATCTTGATATTGTGAATGCGTTTTACTTTCCATATTTTACTGTTTATTTTCAAATTATTTCATAAAATAAAAGTAACTTATACTACGGGGTTTTGGGGTTTTGGGGTTTTGGGG